GTTTCACCATGTTGACCAGGATGGTCTCGATCTCTTGACCTTGTGATCCACCCGCCTCTGCCTCCCAAAGTGCTGGGATTACAGGCTTGAGCCACCGCGCCCGGCTATCCTCTCATTTTCTTATCCCCTTTTTTTCTTATTTTCCATGTCTTTCTCCCTTGTAGTGTCTGAGAGATGTCTTCAATTTCAAACTCTTTTACTTCTGCTACCTATCATTTTAAATTTTGAGTTAAACCTTTCCCAAGGGATTTCTGTAGCATTCTGTTCTTATTTCATGGATAGAATGTCTCTGGTTATCTGAGACTATTACTGGTAGCTGTTTTTTGTTTCCTTCTTCCTGCATAATGATTGTTTCTTCCACGTTGCTGTCTTCTGTTTATCTTGATCTCTGTGTTTCATCTTCAGTGTTTTCTTTGATGAGTTTCTTGTTTAGAATCATGCAAAGGCCAAATCCTCATCATGAGAATCCTCGTTTGCGTTTTGTGTAGTTCTGTAATTATCATGAAGCATAATAGACAGGTGGTGATAGTATATCGCTCACAAAAGCTGCTAAGTTAAAAGTGCTCAGAATTCTAGAGCTGCCAACACTAAAAACAAAAATGACTTTGTGTTTTACTTGATTAAAATTAAGCCTTAAGTTTAGAAAATCTTTAAACATGGTTTAAAATATTCATTTTAGGGTGTTTGCCAACTTCCCAGTAAAAATGATGAAAAAGAATATCCACACAGAAGAATTGATATCAGGTATTGTTCATACTTTGTTGCTGACCTGTTAATTTTTCCCAGCGTTTTTTTCCCTTGTTTTTTCCCTTGTTTTCTCCCTGTTTCTATGTTAGAGTTCACATTTATATCTAGAGCCTCTTTTTAGCCTAAAGAGCCATATGTTCTTGCCAAATGCAATGTTTAGCGCCAAAGTATGTAAAGAATAACGACTGTCTATGGAATCTGATTTATTTTCTCTAGATTTGCACCTCACCATGATGCCTTCCACAGCTCAAAAGTCATTTCCTGCCTGGGCTAAGTTAGTTGTAATAAGTGATAATGCAATTTCATTTCTCCACACCTCTTTCAAAACAAAGTTTACCGAAACCTAAACAAATTACAAGGTTGGAGTGATTTGAGCAGCCTACCTAATGATAGTCTTCTCCAAGTTATTAGACCACTTAGGCTTATTTTAGGTATTTTGTTCCTTGTTAATTTTAGGAGTCCTATATTTGCCAAACTCGAAATGCATAGTAAAAAAATGTATCTACTGTCCATTTTTTTTAGGTTGATACCCAAAGATCAATATTACTGTGGTGTTCTCTATTTCACTGGGAGTGATATTTTCAATAAGAATATGAGGGCTTATGCCCTAGAAAAGGGCTTCACAATCAATGAGTACACCATCCGTCCATTGGGAGTCACTGGTGAGTATCCATGTCTGTATTAGAGATCATCTCTCATCTGGAGAGGTTATTTTCAAAGATACTTTGGTTTAGCAAGTGTAGTGTCCCTAAAAGCCTTCTAGTAACTATGCCAGTTAGTGTAGTTTCTATGCCAGTTAGTGTAGTTTCTGTGCCAGTTAGCGCAGAACTCAAGTATCATTGTTTTCAGTGCCACACACTTTGCATTCACAGTACCTTTGGCTCCATGCTTTGAAAGAATTTTCAAAGAATCTGTGCTTAACGGGTACTGTTAACATTCACAGTATACCGTGTGGTTTTCTATAAGAGAATGAACTTTTGTCATTTTGTGCTCAAAGTGTAAAATAAGGCTTTCATCTCTGGTAAACAAGGGCAGTACTTCTCACAATTAACTGTGCATACCAGTAACACGGGGGACCTGACTAAATTCAGATTCTAATTCCTTGGGCTTGCAGTGGGGCTCAGAATTCTGCATTTCTAGTAAGCTTCTAGATCAAGGGTTTCTAATCTTTTGGCTTCCCTGGGCCACATTGGAAGAAGAATAATTGTCTTGGGCCACACATAAAATACACTAACACGATAGCTGGTGAGCTTTTTTAAAAAAATCACAAAAACATCTCATCGTGTTTTAAGAAAGTTTACGAATTTGTGTTGGGCCACATTCAAAGTCGTGCTGGGCCACATGTGGGCCATGGTCTGGATAAACTTGTTCTAGATAATGCCAGTGCTGCTAGTCCAAGAACTGAGTTGCAAAAGAACTCACTAGAGTATTTTATATAATACATAGTGGCTCCAGCAGAGAGGACAATCATGAGTGAGGATGACTTGAGTGGCCCTAGCTGGGATCCCCAGTTTCCCTTTGTGGCACTGGTGACACACGAGACAGAGCTCCAGCACAGGCTCCTGGGAGAGGATGGACGTGGTCAGTGTCTTTTTTCTGAGACTGAGTTTCACTGTTGTTGCCCAGGATGGAGGGCAGTGGCGCAATCTCAGCTCACTGCAATCTCCGCCTCCTGGGTTCAAGCAATTCTCCTGCCTCAGCCTCCCGAGTAGCTGGGATTACAGGCATGTGCTACCATGCCTGCTAATTTTGTATTTTTAGTAGAGATGGGGTTTCTTCGTGTTGGTCAAGCTGGTCTCACACTCCTGCCCTCAGGTGATCCGTCTGCCTCGGCCTCCTAAAGTGCTGGGATTATAGGTGTAAGCCACCATGCCTGGCCAGTGACTTGGTTACCATTTTCTTTTTTCTTCTGAAAGCAAGTCCCACACAACTCTTTTTTTTTTTTTTTTTTTTTTTTTTAGACGGAGTCTTGCTCTATCACCAGACTGGAGTGCAGTGGCCAATCTCGGCTCACTGCAACCTCTGCCTACAGGGTTCAACTGATTCTTCCACCTCAGCCTCCCAAGTAGCTGGGACCACAGGCGTGTGCCACCACACCTGGCTAATTTTTGTATTTTTAGTAGAGATGGTTTCACCATGTTGGCCAGGATGGTCTTGATCTCTTGACTTTGTGATCCACCCACCTCAGCCTCCCAAAGTGCTGGGATTACAGGTGTGAGCCACCGCGCCTGGCCTGTCCCACACAACTCTTAATCCTGAACCCCTCTATAACTACATTACAAAACTGGTTCTTACAGTAAGTTTTTTCTCTCTGTACTTGCAGGAGTTGCTGGAGAACCGCTGCCAGTGGATAGTGAGAAAGACATCTTTGATTACATCCAGTGGAAATACCGAGAACCCAAGGACCGGAGCGAATGAGGCCTGTAGCTTCCCTGGCAGACAAAGCCCAATAGGAGTCTTAATTTATTTCTTAACCTTTGCTATGTAAGGGTCTTTGGTGTTTTTAAATGATCGTTTCTTCTTCATGCTTTAGCTTGCAATGTAGTCAATAAAATCTCTTGTACTGTTATTGGATGATGATGTTCTTATTTACTTAGCAAATATGTTTAAATTTTCATATTCATGATCATACTTTACTATGGGTTTGGTAGAGAGAAATATGAGATCATAGCAGATCTTGAATGGAAGTTTTTATTTTCTCATATTCTGCTCTATGCTGTAAACCATGTTACCCCTACTTACTGATCACAAATTGGTTAATTAAGGTGCAACCAGAAGCTAGCCTCGGGAAGATTTTTCAGTATTTTCTAGAAACCAGGTGTGGTAGCTTATGCTTGTAATCCCAGCACTTTGGGTGGCTGGGGCAGGCAGATACCCTGAGGTCAGCAGTTGGAGACCAGCCTGGCCAACATGGTGAAACCCCATTTCTACCAAAAATATAAAAACTAGCTGGGAGTGGTGGCACGTCTATAATCCCAGCTACTTACAAGTCTGAGGTGGGAAAATTGCTTGAACTTGGAGGTGGCGGTTGCAGTGAGCTGAGATCGCACCACTACACTCCAGCCTGGGTGACAAGAGTAAGACTCCATCTCAAAAAAAAACCAGTAACTAGGGACCTTTATACGTGTAATTTTTTGTTGGGCCCATATTTGATTGTTATCAGTCCATTCTCGCATTGCTATAAAAGAATCCTGGAGACTGGGTAGTTTATGAAACAAAAAGGTTTAATTGGCCGGCGTGGTGGCTCTTGCCTGTAATCCTAGCACTTTGGGAGGCTGAGTCTGGTGGACCATGAGGTCAGGAGTTCGCGACCAGCCTGGCCAACATGGTGAAACCCTGTCTCTACTAAAAATACAAAAATTAGCTGGGCATGGTGTCACACACCTGTAATCCCAGCTACTTGCCAGACTGAGGCAGGAGAATTCCTTGAACCCAGGAGGCAGAGGTTGCAGTGAGCTGAGATTGCACCATTGCATTCCAACCCGGATCAGAGTGAGACTCTGTCTCAAAAAAAAAAAGAAGAAAAAGGATTAATTGGCTCATGGTTCTGGAGACTATATAGGAAGCATGGCACTGGCGTCTGCTAAGCTTCTTGGGAGGCCTCAGGAAGGTTTTGCTCATGGTGGGAGATGAAGCAGGAGCAGGCACTTCACATGGCGAAAGCAGGAATGAGAGAGAGAGAGGAGGTGCCATACTCTCTTAGACAATCAGATCTTGTGTGAACTAACAACTCACTTATCACCAAGAGGATTGTGCTGAGCCATTCATGAGGAATCGGCCCCCATGGTCTAGTCACCTCCCACCAGGCCCCACCTCCAACACTGGAGGTCACATTTCAACATGAGACAGAGAGGACAAACGTCCAAACCATATCATTGATCTTGTAATATATACTTATAACCTGAATAGAAAAACAGGTATATGGTTTATCTCTGAAATGAAATCTGTAGCACTTGCTTGAAATTCACTAGAAAGAGCTTTACTAAGCACAACCACTTCTATGCACAAAAATATAGTCTTTTAAACTTAATACAAAAATTTCACTTTTTTGCCTGATTTTTCCTCTGGGCTAACTTTTAAATGCAAGTGGCCAAAATGTATAAGTGACACTCCTCGAAAGCCCTGCCTTTCAAATTATATAATTTGAAATTATAAATTATATAAATATAAAAAGTTATCCTATGGTAAGTAAAACTATCGAAAACACGTAAAAATGCTTTATAACTTGCAAAGGACTACACAGACATAAGATATTACTTTTTGAAACTTCTTTATTAACCAAATTATTTTGTAGTGAAATGCCATTTCCTTTCCAAGAAATGAATGGAAATAAACAATAGGGTTTTTAAGGAAAAATACAGTATTTGTTGTGATAATTTTCCCTGGGAAGATAAAAGAATTAATTTCCTTTTAACTTCAGATGCCATCATTTTTCCCCCCTAGGATACTGTCAGGCACCAGCCTTCACCAGAAATTGCTTAAAGATTTATTTGGAGAGAGAGCTGTAGCTCAACTATAGTATATGTATTTCAAAACATCACGCTGTATACCTTAAATATATACAATTTCAATTCTTAAAGATTTGAATTAATGGAGCCCTTAGATTAGAAATAAATTTTTTTGTTACAGAATCTCATTGGTTTTCTGGAAAAACAGACAAAAAGCTAATGCTAGTCTCATTCATCACAAAGCCATCATCTCAGTTCTCTAGTTTCAGGCTATTTTGCTTGCTGCAAGATTTGATTTCAGGAGAGATCTGTATGGAGACATTTGAAAGTTCATGTCCAAGACTGAGCCCGAATGCAATGAGGATTCTTCTTTACGTTGAGATATTTATAGCTTTTCAATTTTTTGGCATACTCTTAACCGTGGATGCTGCCCATCGCCGGCCAGTTGGCTTCGACACAGTAGTCCAGGGCCACAGTCGCAACGCTGGAAGATTTCTGGAGCTTGAGCAGTGTCTTTATGCCCTCTCCTGGAGCAGACCTGTCCCTCCAAAAGGACTGGCTTACAAATTTTCGTCCAAAAATGACGAGCACAGCAAAGTCCAGGGCCACAGTCAAAAGTTCTCAGACAACTTTCTCCTTCTTGTCCTGTAACAAGGTTAATGTGGGGTTTAGTGATAAACGGGAAAAGCGGCCTGCCCGGGCACTGCTACTGGGATAAGGGGATGGGACCTACAACTGACAGTCACAAAGTAAAAATAGACACAGCACGCGGGTCTCACAGAGCTAGGTCTTAGGCTAAAGGCGGTAATGCAATGGCAATTCCACCCCTACCCAGTGGAATTTATTCATTTGGAATTTATTCAACAAGAGAACTGGCCATTCTCTTGTTCTCTCAACCTGCAGACTGCCTTAGGCCACTGTCTATGCGACCCCACAGCTTCTTATGGAAAGAGATTACAACAGCACATGCTCCCTAAGTGTTTCTCTGATGGAGAAGAATAAAGTCAGTCAGCCTATCCTTAAGAGGCTGAGAGGAGAAAATGCATTTCTGAAATAAAATGAGCTCAGAATGCTGCTCTTACCCTTCCTGCCCTGTGATTTCTTAATACTTGGCTTCCTCTTGGGTTGGTTTTCCTGAACTGGGTGCCCAGTTGCTCCTTCTGCATCTGTGCCATCTTGCTCGTCAGGCTGTCTTTCCAATATTGGGGTTGCATCTTCCATTGCAGTACACACATCTGAGAGACAACCAGGTGTAACTAGAATTATTAACTTCAAGAAGGAGAACCACAGCCACACTAATTAGCCTACTGTTACTTAGTTTGGCAGCACCTCTGCCCTCAGTTTATATATAACTTCCTAGATTTCTGGGACACGAACTAAATATTTACATGCTCACATATGGCAGAGAAGGTAGCTAAATGGAAATCGGATTCCAATAAAAGTAGCTAATAGAATCCAAGTGGAAATGGAAGTATTTGAATGATTCCAGCTTGAATCTTTCCTTCAAAATCATTATCTCCAAGTCATTGGCAAGAGCTGTTGCCAGGAAATAAATTATTCTGTTTCATTAAGAAAAGGCAGGCCAGGCACGGTGGTTCACACCTATAATCTCAGCACTTTGTAAGGCTGAGATGGGTGGATCACCTGAGGCCAGGGGTTCGAGACTAGCCTGACCAACATGGCAAAAACCCGTCTCTACTAAAAATACAAAAATTAGCTGGGCATGGTGGTGCACTCCTGTAATCCCAGTTATTCCAGAGGCTGAGGAAGGAGAATGTCTTGAACCCAGGAGGCAGAGGTTGCAGTGAGCTGAGATCGTGCCATTGCACTCCAGTCTGGGCAACAAAAGCAAGGCTCTGTCTCAAAAAAAAAAAAAAAAAAGAAAAGAAAAAAGAAAGGCAGCTGTATAAATTTACTTCACGCATGAATCTAGGAAGCGCCGTTAGAGAGTACCTGCCCTGGAATATTCTTGTCCATGGAGCTTAGACACTGCCTTCGGTTTAAAAACCACTGTTGGCGTTATGGCCACTCACCATTCACACAGAATGTCCCAGGGCAGCACATGGCATCTCGCTGGCATCTCCTCCGCAACCCACGACACGTAGCACAGAACGGCATCTCATCGTGGGGCTGGAGGCAGAACTTTCTGGTATTGCAGTCCATGTCAGACAGGCACTGTGAGCCCTGTGGAGGGAAGCTGCTGTCACAAGGCTAGAAAATCCAACACAATGGAAGATGACTTTTTATTCAAGGCAGGAGGCGGAGGGAGCCAAAGGACAGTGGCACTGTGACAAACCCTGGGCAGCATCTTATTTTTCGGTGGAAATGGTTCTCTCCCACGAAGGGAAGCTCAGATCACCTGGGAAGAGGCCTGGGTGCTGCAAAGGCTATTTGAGTTTGAAAAATTGTCTGAACTCAGAATTTCGTTTTCCTGTGCTCTTTGTGAAAATGGGAGAAAATGTTTTCCTATGTGTGTCTTGACAGGTGATTATGAGATATTCAATAGATCTTAACTCTAGAGGCTGGCTGCAGTTTAATTAAATATAGTACTGATGTTTGAGGCATTCCTATTTGATTTTTTACTCTAGTGAATCAAATTTAACCTAAAGAGCCTTCCCTAAGTGAACTGTCCTTTGATTTTCAGTGATGCCTCATTTGCACAGAGAAAGAGACACTGAAGATCAGTTGTTCCCATCAACAGTTGATGCTTTTACATGGATATGTAATGTAGGTATAGTATATATGATATATATAGTAATACATAAGATATATAATAACATACACTTATATAAAGTGATCCCTAAAACAGCTCTCTGTGAAGTTAGACGGTGACCAGGCAATGCATCGCGGCCCTCCGTTTAAATCCTTGCCCCCCTGTTTGCTGGCTGTGTGAGCTGGGGTAAGCTCCTCAGCCTCTCTGAGTCTTATTTCCTCATCTGGAATTAGGGGGTGTTTCACCTGTCTCAAGTTGTGAGGAAGGGTAATTGAGGTATTACATGTAAAAGAGCTGGCACAGAGCAGAGCTTCCGAAGTGTGCGTTTATTCCCTGACTTACAAACGAATGATGCGGAAAGCCACTGTGTTTATTTCATACATTCATGCTAAGGCCACTGGGTCTTAACAGGGTGCCCTCCAAATCCAAAACCAATTCAATTTACCTGCAAGGTAAGACATTTCACACATGAATCAAAATGACTTACTAAAGCCTAAACAGAACACCCAGCTGTCAGCAGCCCGGTACCTCGGGCCCTTCCCTAGCAGCCTTACCTTCCCGGCCCTGTGCAGATCGGCAGAGCTCCTGATGTTGTTGAAGTCCAGGACCAGAGCTCCCAGGGGAGAGCAGAGCCAGCTCAGTCCCAGCAGGACGGCTGCCACCATCCTTCAATCCCCAGGCTCCCGGAGGGTCCCAGCACTGTGTGTCCCCGAAGCGAGGCTGCTCTCCACCCACAGCAGAGCATCCACCAAGCTGGCAGCTCAGCACGTCGTCAGTTTATCACTGCTTTTTCTGAAAGAGAAGCAAAATTTTGTCTGAGTAAGGTGCTTGAAATCAGCTGAGCCAGGTCTGACCAGCAGGTTCCTCCTGAAACTATTTATAACCAGATGTGCCTCCTCCCGACTCTGTTCCTTCCTCCTACCCCACACAGGCTTCAACAAATCCCTTCAAATCTGTTTGATCAATAGTTCAAAACAAGGACTCAATAGAAGGAGAGAAGAGGCAGGGCCATGAGGCTTCTCCTCCAGGGGTTGAATCCCTCTTAATTATTGCATATCAAAGTTAGTTCAAAGGGCCAAGGCAGAGCAGGATGTCTGTATCAAAGGCAAACTCTGATAATCACCTGCATTTCCTACCTTCAGTAATCCTTTGGGGCGGGGGAGGGAGTCTGTCCTAAGATCTGTTTTCACAGCTAATTGTGCTCAAAGAAAGGATGAATCATACTGGCCAATATGCTATAGAGGATGCCAAAAACATTTAACGAGGTACAAAATACACTCAGAAGCTGTAAACTGGGCTTCAGATAGTGAGTACAGATAGAAAAAGAGAAAACGCCCCCTGATTAGCTCTGGCATCCAGATGTCAAAGCTAATTCCAACCGTTTAAAAGTTGTCAATGGAACAGCACCTGTTCTAACTAAATGCCATTTGGGAAATTGCTTTCCTTTAAATAAAAATTGAACTGTTTGAAGTTAGGGTTATTAGGAAAATAGTGTGATTTATGAAAATCCTATTTTTCAAAGGTGAGGACAATGATAGAAAGCTCATTTTATATAATTCAATAGGAAGCTTTGGGTCCATTTTATCAGCAACGTATTTAATTTGTATTGCATGATGTAAAACTCAAGCAGAACAGGATCCAAGTCTCTGGTTGATTTCAGATGAAATTTCATGTATTTCTAATTTTCCTAATATGAATTTTTTAAAACTTCAACTTTATCCCTTTCTCGTCTGATTTTTTTTCGCATTTGACTATCAGAGAAGTCAGGTAATTTAGACATGTGCTTATCACCATCTTAAATACTTTAAGGGTAGAACAATCTAGATCTGGGTCAAAAGATCATTTTTTCTCTTCATTGTTTCATTGCTCTTAGCCTAGAGTCATCTGAAAACATATTTTTATGCCATAAATGATAATATTTACTATGTTTTCCTGCAGAACAACCTAACATCAGTTCATTGACATGAATCTCAGCATTCTGTGCACGAGAACATTCTCAATTTTGAGTAATGCAGTGCCATTCCGAAGGTGATGCAGGTGATTCGAGCCTTCCCAGTACTTGGCTCTCGTTCTCAGGTTGGTATTGCTTGTCTACCTCTTGTGTGGAAGTTACTTATTTTAATCCCTTAAACTGACAACATCAAACACCCTTTGATAGGATGATAACCCTGGTGACTAGTGGTGTTGCAGAATTTATTTTGAAGTTGGACAATTATGACCAAAGATAAAGGAGAGAGCCCCAAGGTTCTGTCTCTGCTAGGTTTCTCTGCTTCCTGCTGCCTCACCATAAGGGAATTTCAGGTTACCAAAGGCCCCTGGCAATATACACAGACGAAAGGACCGTCAGGAACTTCTGTAACAAGGTACGAACAGCCAATGAGCATTCAGCGTGGAGCAGAGCCTTAGATTAGATGTTGGCAATAAAATATAAAACTCCGATGGCCGGGCACAGTGGCTCACACCTGTAATCCCAGCACTTTGGGAGGCCAACGCGGGAAGATCTCTTGAGTGCAGGAGATCAAGACCAGCCTGGGCAACATATTGAGATCTTGTCTCCACAAAAAAAAAAAAAAAAAAAAAAATTAGCCAGGCACTGTAGTGTGCACCTGTAGTTTTAGTAACTCAGGAAGCTGAGGTGGGAGGATCATTTAAGCCCAGGAGATTGAGGCTGCAGTGAGCTATAATTTTGCCGCTGCACTCCAGCCTCTATCTATCTGCTTATCTTAACTAACTATCCATCTATCTATCTGTCTCTATGTAAAACAGACAGAAGACATGTATGGATGGATGACAGAGCCTGGGTGACAGAAGGAGAGATATCCAGACAGAAGACATGTATGTATGGATGATTTCAATATATTATGACAAGCACTTATATAAAGATATAAACACAACGCCAGAGGACTTACAAAGATATAAATACAGAGGAAGGCATGATTTAGACTTTCTAAAGAAATAAAGGAGTATGTTTACAGAGAAGGTAATATTTGAGCTGAGTTTAGTGGGTTGCATAAGAGCTTCCTAGGTGGGGAAGTCGGCGATGTTCTCGCCTGGGTTCAGAGAGTGGAGTGTGCGCAAGGGCAAGAGGTGCACTTAGGCGCTAGTGAGAGATCGTGTGGCTGTGGCAGATGATGGAAGGACGAGATGAAGCAAGATGCAGACCCTGCTATGCCATGCTAAGAAAGTCAGATTCTATTCTCTACACAATGTGAAGTCATTGGAGATATTTCAGGCTGAGAATGGCATGGTCCGCTGGGTGCAGTGGCTCACGCCTGTACCCAGCACTTTGTGAGGGGGATAAGGCAAGAGGACCGCTTGCGGCCAGGGCGTGAGAGCAGCCCGAGCAACATGGTGAGACCCTGTCTCCACGAAAAAGAAACAACATCAGCTGGGCACGCCAGCATGAGCCTGTAGTCCCTGCTACTTGGGAAGCTGTGGTGGGAGGATCACGTAAAGGAAGGAGTTCAAGACCAAGCCTGGACAACATCACAACGCCCTACCTCTACAAAAAAATATAAAAATGACCCTGGTGTGGTGGCACGTGTCTGTAGTCCTGGCTATTCAGGAGGCTGAGGTAAGAGGGTTGCTTGAGCCTAAGAGGTCAAGACTGCATGATCATACCACTGCACTCGAGCCTAGGTGACAAAGCGAGACCCTGTCCTCCCACCAAAAAAAGGAAGGAAGGAAGGAAGGGAGGGAGGAAAGGAGGGAGGGAGAGAGGGAAAGAAATAAAAATGAAAGGAAGAAAGGAAGACCCTGGTGTGATCTAATTTGCTTCCAGGGTACAATGCTGGTGGCAGTGTGGTGCTTGGGTCGCAGTGAGAGAGAGGAGAGGCTGGGGCCACTTAGGACTCAGTTGTCATTGCCCAGATGACAATGAAGAGGTCCAATCTGAGGCAGTGCCACAGTGACAATGGGAACCAAGCAAAGGAGGGAAGTCTGAAGTTAAAGCTGCATCACTGGATGTGGGAGTGGAGTGGGGGGGAGCTGGGATGATCCTGCCCTCTCTGATTTGGTGCACTGGGTGGGTGGAGGTGGGCCAGAGACAGAGAATTCAGGATGAAAATCAGGTTGGGGGAGCAGGATGAGAGTGTGCCTTGGGAAAAGCTGTCCGCACAGTCAACTGTTTGCAGGGTATCTACTACGGAGATATGAGCAGCGTGTCTTCCACCAATAAGGCTCTTTGTTTTGCCTTTGAGAGACAGATGAGAGGGGCAGGTGCAGGCACCAGAGGGTCGCCAACAGGGGTGAACAACACTGAAAAGCGACCCTCTGTCTGTCTGTGTCTGTCCATCTCTGTCTTTGTCTCAGCACTAAGAGAGTGTGGGCTTTGGGGCTGGGCCTGACTCCATCACCGGTGGGACTCCCCTCCGCTGCCCCGTCAGCCCTGCTCTGCATACCCAAGCCACCAACCAGCCACGACGCTTCCAAAACCTCACGCCATCGCCTACGTCTTTGTCTCTACAACCAGACCATGAGCTGGGGCTGGGCGCGGTGGCTCATGCCTATGATCCCAGCACTTGGGGAGAGTGAGGGGGGCGGATCACTTGAGGTCAGGAGTTTGAGACCAGCATGCCTGGCAAAACCCTGTCTCTACTAAAATACAAAAATTAGCTGGGCGTGGTGGCTCATGCCTGTAATCCCAGCTACTCTGGAGGCTGAGGCAGGAGAATTGTTTGAACCCGGGAGGCAGAGGTTGCAGTGAGCCAAGATTGCACTGCTGTACTCCAGCCTGGGCAACAGAGCACGACTCAAAAAAAAAGCAAAACAAAGCAAAAACCCTCTAAACAAATGTCTCTCATCCATTTTCCAGGCCAGAACTTTCCATCTTCCATAGATTTTAGTGCCTAGCGTCCCCCATGGACCAACCTCTGCAGGCTGCCAATGGACATGTGTTTCATACAACTCATCAAAGAAAAATCTCCCTTAATCTGAGGGCTCGTTTTGCAATAAGACTAGGATTTCAGTCTCTAAAAAGCCAGAGCAATTGGAGGAAAGTAAGCATGGGAGGTAGTTCCTGGAAAATGACTTCTGGTATATTTTCAGATTTCCCAAGGCTGCTCCCCTGCTACTAATCAGCCCAGCATCCCTCCACGAGGATGCCAACAACTGAAATGAGATGCCCCGTGGCACCATTTACTGCCAGGAGCCCGCATCTCCATTATTTGGGGATTAGAGATGATGGGGCAGTAGGGAGAGGATGGCAGGGAGAATTAAGTAGGGAGAGGGAAACTTTAAAAACGTTTCTGTTTAAAGGGTGTCCTCTCTGCTCTCAGGTCAGGCCACAAGCTTCGCGGCGCAGGCCACGGCAGCAGCAACTTCACAGAACCCGTTCCACAAGCCCTCCCAAGTGGCACTTGGAGCCGTGGTTGTCTTTGGAAAAGCGACACACCACAAGACACTCCTGTAGCCACAGAACAAAGGAAGCCATCCTGCAAAGTTCTGGCAAAGACACTGCCATCCTGACGCCCCCTGGCAAGGATTACAGGTTAACTGAAAATCTCAGGCTGATGCTCCCTGTTTTGCAGTAACCACCTGGGCCAAGGGAACACTAAAATTGAGTAATATTGACTAAGCTTAGAGGAAATGAAATTTCTCAAAAAGAAATTTCCAGAGGTCCCAGTTTCCGCACTGACTCCACCCTTTGGGTAAAAGTTGCACGCTGGTGTTTGAGGCCTGCCACCCGTGTCCTCCCGCATGACAGCTGCTGTGGCTCACGTCAAAGGCGTGTGTCAGAACCAATTATTTATACTCACTCAGGAAAGGAAAGTTTGATTTGTTGTGGCTCCTGTGTCAAAACCAGTTTGATTTCCATAAATTTTGCTTTCCTTAAAAGAAAATCAAAGTAACGGAAACAAGCAGGTCTTTGGCAGAATCTCACAGGAAATGTTCCGTAAAATAAAAGATGAGAAGGGGCATGTTGATGGGGCAAACAGACCGCAGGATGTGATCACAGAGATGACAGAAACGTTGCCGTTTGGTTCCCTGAGGTCAGAAGGTAAGTCCAGCCCTCCGCAAGGCTGAGGAGTGAAGGGCAGCACCCAGGGACAGCACAGGCTGGATGCCAGGGTGGCTGGTGCCAGCATCTTTTGCAGACGGCGTGGCCTGGGGCAGGTCACGTCACGTGCAGCCTCAGTTCCTCCTGGTCTTGAGGGCCTTTTACACACCAGTCTTCTGGGAGCTTCGGCTGACATCTGCCAAGGCCCTGGAGTTGCTCAGCTCCAGGAGGCACCTTCGGACCATGGTCGGTGCATGTGGCCAACGCCTTCGGAGCTGTGCAATGTGCTGGTGCAGGGAACCACCCTTTCCAGCAGCAACAGTTTTGGAGTTGTCCTGACTTCACACGTCCTCCTGGCTGGGAATAGCACCAGGCTCTCTGGACCCTCCTTCCTCAAGGATAGGCTCTGCCATTGTTTGTTTTGTTTGTTTGAAATGGAGTCTTGCTCTGACACCCATGCTGAAGTGCAGTGGCACGATCTTGGCTCAATGCAACCTCTGCCTCCTGGGTTCAAGCAATTCTCTTGTCTCAGCCTCCTGAGTAGCTGAGACTACAGGTGCACACCACCACAGTCAGCTAATTTTTTGTATTTTTTTAGTAGAGATGGGGTTTCACCATGTTGCCCAGCCTGGTCACGAACTACTGAGCTCAGGCAATCCACCCACCTCAGCCTCCCAAAATGCTGGGATTACAGGCATGAGCCATCATGCCTGGCCCATTGTTTTGTTTAAAAAAAAAATCAGGTTGGCCAGGTGCTGTGTCTCATACCCATAATCCCAGCATTTTGTGAGTCCCAGGCGGGTGGATCCCTTGAGATCAAGAGTTCGATACCGGCCTAGCCAACGTGGTAAAACCCTGTCTCTACTAAAAATAAAAAAAAAATTAACCAGGCATGGTGGTGTGTGCTTGTAATCTCAGCTTCTCAGGAGGCTGAGACAGAAGAGTCACTTGAACCTGGGAGGCAGAGGTTGCAGTGCGCCAAGATGGCACCACTGCCCTCCAGCCTGGGTGACAGAGCAAGACAGTTTCAAAAGAGAGGGAAAAAATCCAGTTGTGTCTATTTGTGCCTTCCTAGTTCCTAAGCACCTCACCCACGCTGCCTTGTTCCTGCACACTGACCCGCTTCCCTTCCTCTGTGCCACGCCGCCGCTGACATGTTCATGGTACACAAAACATGAGGAGTTCTGCCATCTTTGGATCTGGACCCTAAGATGCAGACCGAATTGGGTCTCATTCTTCAATTCTTTTTTTTTTTTTTTTTTTTTTTTTGAGACGGAGTTTCGCTCTTGTTACCCAGGCTGGAGTGCAATGGCGCGATCTCGGCTCACCGCAACCTCCGCCTCCTGGGTTTTCAGGCAATTCTCCTGCCTCAGCCTCCTGAGTAGCTGGGATTACAGGCACGTGCCACCATGCCCAGCTAATGTTTTTTGTATTTTTAGTAGAGACGGGGTTTCACCTTGTTGACCAGGA